AGGACAACGTTTTTTTTTTTTTTTTTTTTTTTTTTTGTCTTTTTTTTTTCGTGACCGGCAACGGATCGCAACCCTCAGTGTCGCGCCCGTACCGGACCGGGACCGGCAACGGGATCGCAACCCTCGGTGTTGCACCCACACCTTGCTCAGCCAGTGAGCAGCTGGTCTGCATGTGGGATCCGAACCCTCGGCGGGAGCGCCGCCGCGCTCCCAAGCGGCGCACCGTAGCAGTGCGCCACCGGGCGGCCTAAGACAACGTATTCTAATCAAGGTAGAATGTGATGAAAGCTCAGAGAGATACAAGTAAAATGCTGTGGCGACTCAAAGAAATGGGAGATGATCTTAGTTGAGACCATGAGAGAAGGCTTCATAAAAGAGACGGCATGTTAACTGAAACTTTCAAAAGAGAGCAGGACTTAAAAGATGTGAAGGTAGAAGAGAAAGACTGAGCAGAGAGAGAGTATTTCCAGGCATTTCTGTGAGTGTGGAAGGCAATTTAAAGAGAACCAGGCAAGGGTACAAAAAGGAAGAGCAGGAACTGTGGCTGAAGAGGTATGTTAACGCCAAATAGCCATGAACACCCGAAGATAAGCTGAGAAGTGCGCGCTTTGTTTTGTCAGCCGTGAGCAGCCACGGAAGTGTCAGGCAGGAGAGAGAAGAGATGATATCTCAGAGTCCTGCTTTGGACATATCGATCTGGCACTTCTGCAGGATGTAAAGAATCTCATCCGTGGAAAATGCCGAGCACAGACCTGGGACACAGAATGATGCTCAATACAAGACACTTCCCTCCGAGAAAGGATGAGCACTGAGGCAGTGGCCCGGGAGGTGTGGGAGGAGCTGAGGTCAGAGTGCAAGTGTCAGGGAAGAAATAAGGGATGAAAATGCAAAGGAACACCAAGATAAAAATATGAATGTTCTGGGAAGTCATACTAGGTGGTCAGTACTCTCCATAAATCAGATAGCTGCCTGCTAAGAGGGAGGGATTCTGAGAAAAAGCTGTGGGTGCCTGGAAAAGAAACGAGGGAGTGCAAGCTCCTCTCTTCTCAAGTACCAAATCAGTGCCTGAGTCTTAGTTTCCTAGTCTGTTGACTAGGCCCCGGCACCCAGAAATGACCTCAGGCATGGAACCTAACATGAAGGTGAAAGTTGAAGCCAAGAAAAAGGACAAATCACAGAGAAAGAGGAACTGAGGCCCAAGGACAACCTCAGACAAGAACCACAGTTGGTAAGTGGCAAGAGGAAGAACCAGGAAGAGAAGAAGTGGTCAAAAGCACTGGAGAAGAAAGAGGATAAAATTTTACAGAACCTAATGGAAGAGAGTATTAATAAATCATCTGTCTTTTCTATAAGCTGGCAATTTTAATGACTTGGTAAATATGATATTAAGATATGGTAACATCCCAGAAAGTAACCAAACCCTTCGAGTCCTGTATAGTGAAATTTATGATTAAAATATAATAACCTTAGTTGAAAATGTAGGCAAAACAAATATGACAAAATACTGATTAAAATAATCTCCTTTTTATACTCAATAATTCCTCCCCCAAAATAATTATGTCACTCCACAAGTCTCCCTTTGAGGCAGCTAAAACTAAGATTCAGAATAAGCAGCTGGTGATTTGCTTTGTTCTGTTTTTGTTTTGTTTCATTTTATTTTTATAGTACACCTAATGCTTTTTAAGTAACACAGTCTGAATGAAAGCCACAACAAATATCCATCATTTATTTCTTCTTTCCTCTTGTGACATAATTAGGTTCTTATCAAATTATATATAAACTCTTGGTCATTTGAAAAACTAAGTCTGAGGGCTGGCCAAATATACTTCCTAAGCTTGCTGATCTGGCACTGGCTGATCCCACCGTACTGGGGGTGCCCTGAGCCAAGGCTGGGCCACGCAGCCCACTCACCTGCATGAGCTCATGGCTTTGCAGAAGATCATTCTCTAGCATCTCCTGGGTAAGGCGCCCCATGGTGCTGTAGAACTCATCTGCTGTTTCACAACATTCGATCTGCCTAGATGAAGAGAGAACAGAAAAAGGGACTTATTTAGAGCATTCATGCTGTAGAACAGGTAAGTGCTGCAGGTACAAGATATGTTGCCTCTTGTCATCAAATCAGTCAGGTTAGCAATCAACAGAAATCAAAATCCTGGGACACACTCACAGTACAACCTGCTGTATGTAGGGAAAAGATCAAAAATACAAAAGACAACTTTGAGGTCACTGTTACAGAATGGGTTCCCATCTTTCCTAAACGGCTCCCCAGCCTCGCAGCCCACTGTGGCACCTTTATTGTTTCCATGTGACACATTCTACATATCAGAATATGACCACTGATCAGAATTCATAACCACAAAATTGGATAATGACCAACAATTATCCACTGTAGGGAATCTGTTGGTCTTAATCTGCAAACAGTATCTATTAATATTAATAGACTGAAACCAAACCACAGTAGAAGTAAAAGATGAAAAATACAAGAACTTTATCCCCATACTTCATCAGTCCCCAGGATGTTTTCACAGGCAGAACAGAATTTTCCCAGTTCTTCTCAGGGGATTGCTGCTAGCTGGAGATTACACCCTGTTTCCTGCATTCAGTTCCACATGTAAATAAAGAATCTGTCACCTAGCAACCAGTGAGGCAGGTTAGACTTTGATCTTTCAAGAAGAGGGGGGAAAAAAGAGCAAATACACAGGCAAAGAGCACTGTGTATTTCTGTTTTATCTGTTACAACGTTCTTTGTATAATAGGATAACTCTGCTTGCCCACCAACCATAAGACATACACTTCCACATACACTAATACTAGGGGATATCCCTACAGCCATCCAAGAAAAAATATGGTGATGGAAAAACGTTAGGCTCTGGAATTTTGTTCAAATCCCATTGCCACAATCATGTAAATAAATAAATGAAATAAACTTTTGAAGTATTATTACCAAAATACAGAGTAGCATGTGAGCATAAATTTAAAAAGTGGTTAAGTTTGCCTTAGGGGGAGAGGAAGTGAAAGAATGCTTGAGACAGGTTTTCAAAAATCTTCTCCAGGCTGACAAGAAAGAAAAAGCATTCCCAAGACACAAATGCAGGAGACAGCAGGCCTCATCTGGGGAACTGCAAGCAGCTCTGCATGACCAGAGTGCAGGGAGCGGCTGCCCAGCCAGAGGAAGCCGTGAGAGCTAAGAGTAGAGAGCTGCAGAGAGCAGATCGCAATGGCCTGACCTGCCAGCTGAGCCTCTTCAGGACATGAGTCGCTGAAAGGCTTTTAATAGGGAGTGAGGGAACAGCTGTGCCTTTGGCAAGGCCACCAGGAAGTGGAACGGCAAATGCAGGGTACAATGGGGAGACCAGGGAGGACACAGCACAGTGGGCCAGGCAAGAGGTAATGAGGGCATAAGCCAAAACAGTAGGGTCAGAGGAGAAAGCGCACATAAAAGAGATGTTGGTGAAGGTAAGCTGACAGCCTACAACTTACATATTCCAAAAATACCCTTTGGATGAATTAAAGGAAGAAATTCCAAGTTGCAGGAGCAAGGTAAAAGGAGAGGTCCCACAGATAGCCATACGTAAGGCAGGTGTTACTCAGGTATACATAAACTGGGGGTTACCTATATGCTGTTTAGAGTTTTTCCAATGGAAAATTTGCAGGGAAGATTACAGGCACCGCTGTCAGAAAGATCCAGGTTTGAGTCCCAGTTCTGCTACTCACTGGCTGTGTGACCATGAACTAGTTAATCAATCTTCCTGGGAGTAGAAATCCTTCCCTGTCTTTTCTCATTGAAAAGACAGGGAGAGAAATCCTACCTACTTCACAAGGTTAATAGGAGAATCGAATGAGACAATGTGTTTAAACTGCCTAACATAATGTCAAGCATCGCCGGCACTTGATCATGTATGTCGGTTGCCTTTCCTTCCCCTTAACAAGTTGTATGCTCAAAAGATGTAGAATTGTAATGAGCAAAAACTCTGAAACATTAAAAATCTATCAGTCTGATTCATATATCCCCTGAACTTCAAAGACAGTAGCCATTTATTATGAGGAGATTCAAATTATTAAAAGCAGAGAGTCTAGAGCCAGGATGCCTAGGTTCAAAATCAACCTCTTCCACTTCTAATTGCACGACTTTAGGCAATTTACTGACCTCCTCTGTGCCTCATTTCTCACATCTGTAAAATGGAGATAACAGTGCATACCTTAAAGGATGATGGCGAAGAATACACAAACAGTACCTGGCCATTGCAAGCACTCAATGAATAACAGCTGTTAGCTGCAACTATAATTACTTCAACAGTGTGGCATCCCTGAGATGACCACAGGAATAAATTATGATCCTACAGATAATGGATAGATGGGAGTAAAACCAGGATCACCTCTTTTCTTCCTGTTCCATTATTAAGAACCAATACAAAGATGACTATAACTGACTCACCATACAGTAAAGTGCGTTGCTATTTTAATCCTGTCAACTAGTTACCCAGTAACCGGACTCCAGCCAGAGAAACTATTGAAGCTCAAAAAGCTTACACAGTGTAGATAGGTTGGAAATACATGGCTACACCAAGAGGAAGATATTGGAAGAAAATAAAAAGATAAATGAATAGCACGCCAAATCCCATACAGATGAATTTATTTGCCTAGCTGAAAAGCAATGTACAATAAAACAGTGGCAAAAGAGCTAGCTATATGATGTTTAAAAATACACACCATAATGTTTTTTTTTTAAATCCCTGAACTGATAGTTGGTGGATCTTTCTTTGCAAAAAAATTAAAAATGCTGAAAAGTCTCCTAGGAAGCAACTTGTAAATAAAAAGCCTAGTTAAAAAGTAAATGAAACAAAATACTGACAGTGATTTATTAGTTTTCTGATATGCTGTCTATGGGTACCCATTCAAGTCATTTGTAGTGCTAGGAAAGAAGCCTTAAATCTTCTCTACTTCTTAAGTTAACTGTAACAGTTTCATCCTAATATTTCTTCCATTCCCAAGATGACTGAAAATACCCTATCTTTTTCAGCCCTGCTACTAGTAAAGAATGTAAGCAAAGTCTACTTGGCAATATGTTTTAGTAGTAACAGACTTCAACACAGAATTAATTCTTGATGGAAAGAGAGAAGTTCCATGTGTTCTACTATTAACTATGCACCAAGCACTCTGCTAGATACCATATACATGCTATCTCATTTAATTTTATCTCAGCCCAGAAAGACAGAACAAAATAAATAATAAAGACCCATCAATAGTCAAATTGTGATATTAACCAACAGATCCACTTACTCCTCTCTAGCTCTTCCAGTTTCTCTTCCATCTAAGTTCCTCTCCCTCTCCCTGACCAGTGTCTAGAGAGATGCTGACAAAGAGCAAACCAGCCAGGACATGAGCACTAAAGAGAAGGGGTAGAATCTCCAGGCCTGAAAAAGCCTGCCACTTTCCCCAAAACAGATTCCCTCTGCCCCAGAACAATCAAGAATGAGCCAGTTGAGATTTCAGGAGGTTAAAGCAATTGAACAAAGTTCACAACTTTCTCTTTTTCTCACACTTAAATATCGACGCTTTACGTTAAAAACAAAAATTGTTTAAATCCCTCAACACCACAGAACACATCAGAAGGGGGATATCACTTACTCTCCCAATTTTGCCCAGATAGCCAGCGACACCCTTAGGATGATTTCCGAACCTTCAAAGAAGACTGAATCCCAGATCTTTAAAACAGTATGATTAGGGAGGCACGTAGCAAAGAGAGTCAGAAACCACTGCATCGTGAAGACATTCGTAAGTGGGGGCTCATATCCACCTGGAATAAAACACACACACTAAATTCCCTCAGAATTGATGATTTGCAAGACACAAATACCCACTTTCAGTCTTCAATATCCACCCAAATATGTTCTATTTCCTGGCTGATTTCTTCATATGTCTAAATTCTGGTTCTTTCTTGCAAGTTTTTGAAAGAACATAGGTATTTTTAACAAAAATCTCAATAATATGAACTTCACAAATGCTTTATATTTCAGAAATCTTAACCTAAAACTTACTTTTACTCTACTGTTGTAACGGTGAAAATTAAGGAGAATATTTTCCTCACCAAAAACGGAATTTTTAAAAAAAGGATTTTAGCCTTTCAAAAGCAAAAGCCTGTGATGCTAATAGCACCAAGGTCAAGGGTTCGGATCCCCGTACCGGCCAGCCACCAAAAAAAGAAAGCAACAGACATTGCATTTTTAAATCTTATAAAGCCATTTTTATTCAAATGCTGCTGATGAAAAAAAAATGTTCATTACAAATTATCGGTCTACATCCTAAATTATACATAGTTCTCAGACCACAATGGAATTAAACTAGAAATCACTAACAGAAAGATAGCTGGATACCCCCAACATTTAGAGATTAAAAAACATTAAATTTAAAAATATGTTGAACTAAATTATACACAATTTTAAAGATCTGGGATCCAGCCCATTTTTAAATTTCTGAATTCACTAAAATCACAGCATTCCCTCCCACCTCCTATGATGAGTATGTATTTTAATGAAATATAAAAATGTAGGTATTTAGACTGATCCTCCCTCCAAATTACAGTCAGTATATGCTATTACCCAAGTATAAGCAAAAAGAGATCTGTTTTCCTACATTCATTTCCTTCCTTCTTACAAAGGAAGAAGGGGGTATCTTTGTTCAGAGACTAGAATCTGAGGTTATTCCTTGTAGCCAAGTGCAGGGCACTCAGGGAAAATCGTGTAGCTCAGTAAAGTGTGTCTGACTATGGGGCAGGCAAGGTCGGTCCATCTAAAAGCATTATGAAAGCCATGCAGGTACAAAGTTATACCATACAGCCAAATTAAATGAGAAGATGATTCAAATGGCTTGGAAGGAAATACTCAGAGGCATCCAGGTGTCACTAAAATTCCCAGTGTGTTTTAATCACAGATTAGATGCTAAAATTCTTTCATATATTCCCAGGTTTCAATGTGTGGGTCAAACTAGACTGCAAATGTATGGTCTACAACAGGAACTGGCAACCGCTTACAGGAAACAAAGCAAATTTCTGACCATTCTTTCTGGTAACCTGAGCACACCTGGGCAAGTGCAAGGAGTGGGTATAATTAGAGCTGCAAGCTCAGGAACTTCCGAAAGCTGGACCGATGCCCGCCAGATAGCAGCGACTCTCAGAGCTACTCTCCTATAACCTCATGGTTCAGGCAAAACCAGTTTATGCTAAACTGTGCCAAGAGCCCATTTTTAAAGAACTCCTATAGGTTTGGTGCCAGCTCAGAGTAGCTGAACTGGATGGTAAGACACCTACACCATTATTCATCTCCAGTACATACAATACAGACGGTCCCTGACTTATGAAGGTTCAACTTAAGGGTTCTGACTTTACAATGGTGCAAAAGCAATACACATTCAGTAGAAACCATGCTTCAAGTACCTATACAGACACTCTGTTTCTCACTTTCAGTACAGTACTCAAATTACATGAGATATTCAACACTTTATTATAAAATAGGTTTTGTGTTAGACGATTTTGCCCAAATGCAGGCAAATGTAAGTGTTCTAAACATGTTTAAAGAAGGCTAGGCTAGGTACGGCCAGTTAGCTGAGTTGCTTAGAGTGTGGTATTGATAATACCAAGGTCCAGGGTCCAATCTCTGCGCCAGCAAGCCACCAAAAAAATAATAAAAATATTAATTAAAAGATATATATAATATATATATGAATGGATATTTAAAAAAACTAGGCTAAGCTATGATGTTCACTGGGTTAGGTGTATTAAATCCATTTTCAATTTAAGATATTTTCATCTTACAATGGGTTTGTCAGGACATAACCCCATCATAAGTCGAGGAGCATCTGTTTATCATTTTAGTTCCTAATCTGATATTCAGTGAAGTACTAGACTCTCAACTGACTTCCGAACCATGACCAGTTAAAGTTCAACATGTAGCCTTATGCTTTTTCAGTTTTTTTGTTGTTGTTGTTGTTCTCTAGAAATCTAACTATTTCATTGCACCAAACTCTTACCAACAGAAATACCTGGAAACATCTATTTCCACTCAAGGTTTAGGCTCACATGTACCATGGAATCAAAGAAAGCAATATTTTCAAAGGTATAATAGCATGAATCCTCACTACCTCCACTTTCTTTATTTGCAGTTCTCTGAAGTGTATCCAGGTGCTGAGATAATTCAGGAAGCTTCATTCTCAAGAGGTCTCTGAAGACAGCCATATCCACAGACAATGCCCGGAGATTATTGACAAAATAGCTTTCGGGAAGTACCTTATCAATAAGGTAAATCATAATCTGAAGAAAAAGATAAAGAATAAGACTGCTTCATAATAACTGGGATCCCGCAATGTCCTAAATGGCAAGAACATATTCAAATAGATAAAATGCAGTTAGCCAAAGCACACTATCCTTTAAATGTGACAGTACCAAATGTTCCAGAGTTTCAAGGCTCACCTACACCCTGGGTAAGGAGCATGCAGCATAATTACCTAAAGTAACTCACCCAAAGTCTGCCGCTATCTGAAATTTCTAGATGGGCTGCTACACCTAAGTTCACCCTGTAAGTAGACGTGATTATACAACCCTGAGCCTCACTCTGAGAAATGACAAAGCACAAGTTTCAGCAGCAGCAGCCAGCAGGGGCCTGTTTTGGCTCCTTGGTGTCAGCCCAGTTTTACAACCTCAGTATGAAAACCAAGAGCTGGCCTGTCATTAAACACCTACTGAAGCAGGTCTCAGGATTCACTTATCATCAACCTGGGTCATTAGATCAACTGATATTGGCTTTTCTCTTTTTTTGGCAGCTAGCAAGATGTTGGCTTTTTGTCTTCTTTCCTCTCCTGGGAGAATGCAACTAGGTTTTGTTTGAACAAATGGTACTTTTTATAATCTGTATTTCTCTTGCAAGATTATCACACAACTTTTTCAAATTACTACTTTCATTCTGATTTTTCTGATTATATTACCTTTTCTAAAATGTCAAGAACCACTAGAACAACCCAGCAAAACACACACGAGTGCTATACATCAGTCTCTGGTCCCTTCCCTGTCAGCTTGCATGCCCCACTCTTTAAAAGACCAGCTCATTCCCCAAATCACCAGAAAAACAAAACTAAGAACAAAACCATAGCTGACTGTATATACACAGTTGGCTCTATGTTGGTGAAGTAGCTATCTCACATTTTGATTTTCAGGATACGGCAAAACTCTCTGTTCCAAAAAAAAAAATATCTCCCAGCCCTGCCAAGGGTCTGTGTTTCCCTTGTCCATGGCTTATAATTTCTACTGTTAGGGTCATAGTTTTGAATGAATCCATAAGGGTAGAGGCATGCTTCTGGGGAAGCCCTTTGGAGGCCTCTGTTACAGCGATGGGCACATCCAGATATTGGGATGGACTTTACCAAGTAAATGTCTCAACACCTTGGAAATAGGAGCTCAGCAACAAGGAAAGGAGGATATTCATCTACATGGAGGGAGGGGATCCTGGGTGAGGACAGCTAAGGGAAGAGCTGATTTCCAGCAGGGTAGTGTACCCTGGTGAGGACCTAGCACTCCATGATCAGAAGAGAGAGTTACAGGATCACAAGGGCAAATTTAAAGGCAACAGGCTGTATAATGTTGTGCCTTTCATCTAAGAATAAGATATATAATACCGAGGAGACTTCCCTTCAAGATGGAGGAATAGACAGTCCCCAGAGTCACTCTCTCTGACAAATTAACCAATTCACAACTATTAAAAAGCAATGACAGCCTAGCTGGGGCCACTAGAGCTCAGGGGAAGAGGAGGAGAGACCTACGAAGTTCGTGAAGGCAGGAGAAGCCACGATGAGAGAAAGAAAGGATTGCTCCTACCATTTCAAGCCCAGCTGCTTTACGGCTGGAGCTGGTGAGCACACAGAGCAAGACCTGCAAAAGCCACAGCGGTGCCCTTCATATGAAGTTGCTTGGAGGCTGCAGGGGAGAAGAGAGCCTTGGTGGCCCCCGGGCCAGCAAGACTACTAACAGTGTTCCCGTGGACCCACATAGGAGCAAGGAGCCACAACAACTGAAAAAAGGAGCCTCTCAGAGGCGGGTGAGTCACTGCAAGGGACCAGTGCATGGCCCATCCTACAAGAAGTGTTTAGAGTGTGGATGGTGGGGGAGATGGGCCACCGAGGAAACACTGGGGCACAGCATGAACAGCTGATTTGCCCTCCAATCAGCACAGTGGAGACGGGTCAGGAATATAGAACTGCAGGGGGTGCAGTTTGCTGAAAAGACTCAGGCCCAGACCAGAGTTTCCACATAACACAGGTGTACTGTATCTCACAAGACCCAGAAGTGCTTATACAGGCTTAATAATTAAAACCTGAGCTGCACAAAAAGCCTTCCCCAGAGAATCAGCAGCAAAGCAGTAATTAAGGTTCTATAGCTACCAAGTGGTCAAGTCATGACTTTTTACCTCCTACTCCATTGTTTCTTCAACCTCTCCCTGCTACTTGTCAGCCTTGGAAAGATGAAAAATGTCTTTAAAGTCTACATACTTCCATTCCCCACTGCACTGGGAGCTTCATCTCGGATCCTCACCATCCGGCACAGAGCCTGGCACAAGATTAAATGCTCAGTCAATGGTCTTTAATTAAAGTATGTGGAGTACATGGCATCCTGATAAAGTATTAAACTGGCAATAAGCATGCTGGGGCCTTATAGCTCAGCCTGTATTTTTTAAAAAGGGCCAGCCAAGCTCAGCCCTGGGACAGGACATGCTTAAGAAGAGAGCCATGGTGGGAGGAAGAAAAGCCAGGCCAGCTGTGATATATGAGAGTCAGCCAATTGGAAAGGATTTTAAAAAGCATATAGAGTGGCCGAGCCCGTGGCACACTCGGGAGAGTGCGGTGCTGAGAGCGGGGGCTCAAGGGCTAGTTCTCTTAGGAAGCTCCTCCCATTTTAGAAGCAAGCAAAAGACAACAAATTAGTTCCAGTGCAGAGTTTAAGTGGTGAGAATGGTAAATAATCCAACACAAAACTGAAAGAACAAACAAGGCCGAGCCCGTGGCGCACTCGGGAGAGTGCAGCGCTGGGAGCGCTGCAGCACTCCCACCATGGGTTCGGATCCTATATAGGGATGACTGGTGCACTCACAGTGCTCACTGGCTGAGTGCGGTGCGGCTGGTCTCAAAAAAAAAAAAAAGAAAGAAAGAAAGAAAAAAACCCAAAATACCCACAGAACAGAGACAAACTTTGATGTTAACCAGTAAAGGTCTAACACCACCAAATAACACCTAGAAGGACTGGAAGCCCCCTGGGCTCCCAAGTCGGTGGAGTGGGAAGGGCCATAGACCTCAGCCACGCCCACCCCAACAAGCACACCCAGCCCAGCAATGACCACCAGGCTGCCACCAGAAGTACGCAGGCTTCCAAGCTGGGGTGGTGGGGTCCAAGGGCCTCAGCTACACCCCCCTGACATCCGCAACCAGCCCAGCAACAACCACTAAGCCACCACAGGAAGCACCCCAGTCTCCCAAGCTGAGCCGTTGGTTGGGGGCAAAGTGTCTCAGCCATGCCCCCCTGACATCTGCATCCAGCCCAGCAATGTCCAAGTTCTCGCTGGAAGCCCTCTGATCTCCCTTCCCAGAATGAGGGGGGTGCCACAGGCCTTGACCACACTCCCACTCCTTCCTCCTCCTCCCACCCTATTACCCTCTTTCTTTCCTTCTCCCCCCACCCCCCAACTGCTCTGCAACAATATCTTAGAATATAAAAAAGTATATATTAATAAATTTTTAAAAACTAAAAAATGTTAAAAAAAATTTTTTAAAGATACATAGTACTGAGAAAGATACTTAACATTTTTAAGAAATTATGATCCCTCAAAACTACCTGAAAATGAGAAAAATAAAAAATATTTCACCAATTATCATAGTAATTATTGTGACAATGAAATTCTGTCTAAAGGAATCTCAAAGTCTGACATGAAGACATAAGAGTCACCCACTGCTGTACTTCAAAAGCCAAATCTTAGATCCTACAAGAAAAGATTAGCATGAATAATGGTAGAGCTTTGAATTTTTAACAAATGGTTTAAAATAAAACAGTTACTAAGAAAAAACAGTAAGTGCTGGAAAGCAGGAAAAATAGTTCACCAATATCTAATAAACTACGTATTTCTCTAGTAATTACAACCTGCAGAGGCCAAAACAGCTGCTGGAAAAACACTGACACCCAATATTTTCCTCAGCATTAGAATGTTTCTTCATGAACCCAACCTTCCTCGGCCTATTAAATGTCTAACCACAAATCTACACCTTCCTATATGAAGATGATGTCATCTTCTTGCACAGGGCTCATTTTCTCAGAGGCAGAAACATAAATATTCAGTTTCTCCACTTTATCTAATCCATCTTTTCATGTGAATTTTTAATTTTCCAAGTATCATTGAGCCCTTTCATGATTTAATTGGCATGTAATCTCCTTTCCCAAACTTCTCCATCCCACCTCCTAACCTGAATCACTTATCCCAACTTTTCAACAGAATAGTTCCCATTTTATAGTTACACAAATTACATCCGGAAAAAAAAATACTGACTAGAGCTGATAGACTGAGTACACAGAATTGCTTAATAAAAAATGTGTTAAAGTCATATATATGATGTGTCACTACCTTCCCACTCCCCCTGCCCCCACCGACTTGATGAACAAGTAGCTTCAAAGCTGTTTCCCAAAATACATGACCGGAAAAAGTGAGAGGGTGAATACAGGCGTCAATCACGTCAGGCTGGATTTATAATTAAGTCCACCATAATGTGTATAAAACCAGAAGGAACATTTGTTTATTTTTCCATGTCACATTATTCAGTGATTGAGAATGTCACTAAGGTACTCGCAGTAGTCAAACACAGAGAAGGGAGGGCTCTTGAATACAAAGACTAAGCACCTATCTCCCACATCACAAAGCCCTGTAATCAACAGCAGTTTAAAGGTCCAGGTACAAATTAGCAACCCCACATTGCCCTAAGCAAATAAGGAAGGGGCCATCCTCCACACTTGAAACGCTCCATTTCTCGTAATTTCTGGTGACTATCATTCAAACCTATAAGCTTACATTGCTAGTGTTCTATCTCAAACCGTTTTCAGAATTCTTTTTTTTTAACTAATAAAGGTCCTGCCTAGGCACCAAAGATTAAAAGATGGTAACATAATTCACTTCTATAACTTGTCTCCACGAAAACACCTTCCATAGACACTCTCAGCCCACCTCCTCCATACCTTGCTCCAAATATGAAAGACTAAAGCAACCTAATAAAACAACCCAACCAGAATTACAAATATCCAGTGGGGGAGGGCAGTTTGTAATACAATCCCTGGTGATCCCCACCTTCTGGTAGTCACACCCTTGTAGAAGCCCTTCCCCTCAAATATGAGCTGAACAGAATATGGAAAAATGATGAGATGTCACTTCTGATATTCAACTTAAAATCTGTAACTTAAACTTTTCTGCATTGCTCCCTTCTCTTTCACTCTCTTGCTCACTCTGAGGGATGCCAGCAACCAGGCTGTGAAATGGAGGGCCCACATAGCAAGGAACTAAGAGAGGCCTCCAGCCAACAGCCAGCAAGGAACTGAGGCCTTCAGTCCAACAGCCTGTGAGGAGTCAAATCTTGCCAACAACCACATGAACAAACTGAAAGCAAATGCTCCTCCCAACTGAGCCTTCAGATGAGACCAGAACCCCAGCCAATAGTTTGAATGCCACAGTGATGTGACCTTAAGCCAGCTAAGCTGCACCCAGATTTCTGACTCAAACTGTGAGGGAATACATGTTCACTGTTCATGCAGCTAATTTGTTACATAGCAATAGATAATTAACACAATTAATATTTAACTTGCTTTAAAAATATGTCTTATAAGTGAGACTAAAAACATAATCATGCTCCTCACAGTTGGCAGCCACAAGAGTCTGTCACTTGACATGGCTTTAAACTGGAGGAAACAGGTAATTACAAAGGTGCAGCAAGTACTTTGGAAAGGGGTGGGGCATCTGGGAAGAGAAATTATAGTTCCAATTTCTTACTGCCAGAAGAATTTCGGTTGCCTTTTTCAGAGCCCGATACTCACTTTCAGGGCATCCCCTTCATTGCCTTCCATCACTTCCAGAATTAGCGCAGCCAGGATGTTAAAGCCTTGGCAGTACCCAACATTTTTGTTCCATCGGGCATAGGCCAGCAGCACCCGCTTCAGCACAACCCTGTCCTGCTCAGCCTCCTGGCCACAGTAAGAGCTACAGCCTGTGCGGTGAAGATCCTACAATGGAAGGGAAACAATACATTTTTTTAAAAAAACTCTTAATGCTTCCTCCAAAAGAAAAAAAAATACCTTTAGTTTTTTCTTTGCCTCACCATTAAATACAGTCAAATTATCAACATAGATTTTAGTTTTTCAAAATGTATATGCAACTAATATACACAGGCCAAAACATTTTTTTTAAGTTTTCTTTTTCCTACTGTTTTCTACTATGCTATCTAAAGAGATTTGCAGGGGGGAATTTCAGTCAGGCAAATTTTCCACTTATAGTGTTTCAAGAATGGATACAAAAAGTGACTCAGAATTAGTTACTGTACTCAACATGAAAATGTGAAATGTTCCTAGGCCAGATATAGCTGATAACTTTTGTTATAATGGAACATAAGTTACATTATAATTTCATATAAATTGAGTTTATTTTAATAATATGCCTCAGCTAAAACAATAGTCATTTCAACACATGAATGATAGATGCTAACATTATCCCTTTATACAAAAAATGGTACAATATCTAGCTACCAAAACTCTAAATACTACTAAGGAGTAAAATCAAAATAGTGAAAAATACAATCTGTAGTGTAGACAGAAAAATCATTCTTTCCAAGACAGAAAAATCATTTTATCCAAATTGTTTTATAAATGTAAGACAGACAGAAACATATGTTGCATTTTAATGTTTAATAAGGGCAGTATCTACAGTTCTATCTAGTATCTGACTACAGTTTTTAGGAGCTGAAGTCATTATACTGACATAGCCTTCACTTCAATAAGAAAATAAATAATCTTAAGAACATTATTGTTCTAAAATGGGGATTGCCTTAATTCTTAATTCTGAAATTCCTAATAAACAGCTGAAATGTGAATAATGCAAAGGCTTTTTAGTACACAATGTAAAATTCCATAATTTTTTTTAGCATTTGTCTGAAATAGACCAAGTTAGATCAGGAAGTAGCTCATTTTAGTTAGTACTTCCTCCTGAAAAAAGTATCTTAAAAATATGCCAAAACATTAACCGTCTTGTGGTGGCCAAAATTTGGATGAAATAACTTTCCCTTTAAAACTCCAGCTTAGTATCACACTGTAATATACTCAGATAAAATCAAACACCATGTGCTAGAGCCTTATGTAAGAGGATAATTCTGAGATTAAATAGAATCAGCATCTTGGCTTTCAGCACCAGGCTCTAATCAACTGTAATAATCCAGGTTGGCAAACCACAGCTGCCTCCACAGCTGGCTTGAACCCTCAACCATCTGGTTTAAAGTGGACTCACCAGTGAACCTATCTTCATAAACTGACAGTTGGGAAAACTATCAAAGATCCTAATAAGAGCCAAATGATTCTAATATGAAATATATTAAACTTTAAATTTCTCAATCAGTGACTTTTATGTAAAAGTCCAGTTGTCAGCACCAACCTATGCTAAATTAAAATAAATACATTTCAATCTCCTATCATGTGAGGAAGATAAATAATGAAATATGAAAGGAAGCTCATTCACAAACATTCTCTTCTTACTGGCACCATTTAGATTTATGAAGACAAGGCATAGTCAAGGTTCTCCATGAAAAAGCTGTTAACTAATGAAATGAGGCAGAAAACATAGATTTTCAGACCAGAAGGGAGAGATCACTTTACCCTCTGTCCAGGAAACATCTGACTCTCTGAGTCTTTCTTCTGTAACAGGACAACAGGCCGAGCTCAGGGTCATTACCTTGACTATCTGAATTCCCATCGAGTCATCATCGGGATTACTCCTTTCGTTGAAAGTGAAGCGCATGGTTTTATCCCAGTCGATGGCTATACTGTGCAAATAATGATCTGCCAAGGTCAACCAAACCTAAAATATTGCATAAGAAGAAAGCTGAAGTAGAATACATAATTTCAACTTTGTTAGAAAATAGTTATTGTACCCAACACGAAAATGTGAAGTGTTCCTAGGGCAGATATAGCTGATAAGTAAAAATCTTCATGAGCCTCATTGAAATTTTTGCTGTACTAGATTGTGCCATTTAGGGCCTTTCATGTGCTCTTTCCATAAATATTGGTTGAGTTCCTACTATGTGCCAAGCAACAAACAGGTCTTAGGGATACAATTAAGAAAACAAAAAATTTTTTAAATTTTTATTTCAGTTCACTGAATTAGCTGTACAATCTTATAAGCTTGTTTTACTTGGCTCTGAATTGCTCTCTATGCGTGGGCAAGAGCCACCTGGTAACTCACGGCAAATGGGCCTGGGCCGCTGTTCACCATGGAGTGGCCTCTGCCTTTAAATCATCCCTCTCTCTCACACATGCATACAACTGAAAGATGGTCTCCCATAATGAATAAAAAGAGTGACTGGATAGCTTTACTCCTTTGATTATCTTATCCAGAAAATCTGTTTTTGGAAAATGTATTTCATAATGCCATTTTAATGTATATTTTGAGGAACCCTCAATGTTCAAATTCTAAAAGTGTTAAGACTAGGTTTATAAATTAATATCCTAAGAGCACATTTCAAGTTTTGGTATTTGAACATAATTTAGCAGGAATAACATTGGTTAATATCTCCAGCCACACTTCTCTCCTAAGCATCAGAATCATGTACACATGCCTACTCTATACCTTCAACTTAGATATCTAATAGGCAACTCAACCTTAACAGATCCAAAACCAACCATCTAATCTACCACCACCCCAACTATACATATGTACATACATACAAGTACACACAAACATACATACCTGCTCCTCCCATCTGAGTAAACAGTAACTCTACCCTTCCAGTCACTCAGGTCAAAATCTTGATTTCATCATTAATATCAATCCAATATTCCATTCAATGGGAATTCGTGTCAGCTCAGCCTTTGAAATATATCTATAAATATACCCCTCTGTCCATCTCTACTACCACACCCTGATCTATTTCTTGCCTGAATTATTGCAAGTCTCCTGCTGGTCTCTCTGCTTCTGCCCCTATCTCTCACATCCTCAAATCAGTAACCAGATCAATCCGTTTGAAATGTCAGATCCTACCAATCCCCTGCTCAAAACTTCCCAATGCTTCCCATCTCACACTGAGCAAAAGCCTACAAGGACCTACATGATCTGCCACCTCATAACCTACCACATCACCTCTATGGGCCTCTCTCCTGTTGCTTCCTCCTTTGCACACAGTGCTCCCCTGGCCTCTTGCTTTTGCTTGAATACTCCAGAGATGCTCCAGCCTGAGAGCATCTACACTGGCTGTTCCCTCTGTCTGGAATGTCCTCCCCCACGTAGCCACCTAGCTGATTTCTCACCTCCTTCAGGGTCCTACTCAAATGTCACCTTGCTATTTAAAACTCCACCTCTTTAACCCCATTCTCCCACACACTCCTCATTTCTTTCACTCTTTTATTTTCATCCATAGTACTTATCACCATCTGACATACTTTATATTTTATTCATTGTAAGCTCCATGAGGACAAAAACTTTTGTTTTGTTTTGTTTCCACTGCTGTATCCTTAGCACCTAGAACAGTACCTGGCACAGAACAGATAATCAATAAATACTTACTGCATGGATGAATAATGAAGAGATAGGTTTCAAATTACTAAATCTAGAATATACTTCTTGACAGATGCTTTAAAGAAGAACAGAGTGATGGTCCTTTGGTATTTTAACCCTATGAATCCTCCTTACCTTTCTCCTCCATTCCTTTGGTATTCCTGTTGATAGTCTGGCAACTGCCTTGAGTGCATCATACCACTAGGAACAAAGAAAACATAGTGGGGAAGTGGTAATATTGACTTAGATAAGCACTTTTCAACCTTTTTTTCCCCATCCTGACATCCATAGAGTATAATAAAATTTGTACAGCACACTGGAGTAAACAGTCAAAGCTTCTTTAAGCCAGAAGTGAGTGGTTTGAGGCTATGACTGCCCCAAGCCCTACACTTAGGCACCCTTAACACACCTGTGACCCATCTGCAATACACACATGATTGGAAGCTCTGGTTTAGAAACTAAAACATGTTTTATGGCACCAGAATAATAGACTTTTTAAAAAAATTTTTCACACTTGTGCTACTAGAAAGTGCACTATAGAAAGTGCAAAATTTTTTCATTGCAAGTATAAACCCAGGCCACTTGTAGTTTCCAAAGTTATTTTGTCTGAAATTAAAAAAGAAAAAAAAAACAACCTGACTTATCTTTTCATGAATATCAAAGTACATGATATATCTCCACTCCGAGAATATATTTCAATGCACCCTGTAAGTACCCCCAAATAAGAGTGTTTTCAAAACCAAAAATAAAGTTACCTGCTGAAAACCATTTTGACCTAAAGACGGCTCAAGAGTGAACTTCAACTTTGTATCAACTCCTAAAAGAAAAATACATACATAGCCGTTATTTATAGAAACTATATAGCAAGTTATATCAAAAATAAAAGTAAAAACTTAATTCCACTGAATTATCATAAAATTTTAAGACACATATTTTTACTAAATTTTAGTCAATTTTGTTAAAAGAAAAGTAAGTATATTAAGTACCAAAATAGGAAAATACCCTATGGCAATAGAATGGAGCTTATCATGTACGATGGTGCATTCCACAGCTGTCTGGAGTAGTGGCAAAACAAAAACAAAAAATGACACCACAAGCTTAGAGTCACCCAGACCTCAACTCAACTTTGGTTCCTAGACTTGAACAAATTATTTGACCTGTCCCAGTCAATTCCTTTATCTTTAAAATGAGAATAACGTATATCTCAAGATAGTTGTGATGATTAACTGTAAATCACCTAGAATGGTGTAATTAATATTTGTAAAACTTAGGAAGAGAATTCTCTACTTACAGTTGGTTTTTCTAGGACACCTGTATAAACTAATACTATTCAGGAAACTAGTGGATTATCAAACACTATAAAATAATATCATTGCCCTCCCCCTTATGGAATGATTATAACAATTACATTAGGAAATTTTCATATTTTTAAATTCTGTCTTGAAATACTTATTCACAGCAGATAAAACAGTGTACAAGGGTACTTCAAAAAGCTCATGGAAAAATTCATGTTATCTTTAAAATCTCTTTTTCCATAAACTTTTGAAGTCCTCTCTTATGTATTATAGTCTACAAGTGAAAAATGAACTTAACTGTAATTCCAAGTAATCTACAACTTTAGATAAACTTCTTTGACTTGAATTCAAATGTATGGAATAGAAGCAAATAAATGGAAAAACACACAAAGACTATATGTTTAATATATATTGTGCTTTTTTTCAGAATTCCATATTAGAATTATGTGCTGTTATTGAAGTGAAATTTCATGACAACTTTTATTCCCGCTTAAATTCTGTAAAATATAATCAAATCTGAAAATGCTATATATTCTTTTTCTACAATTCCAAAATCAGTGAAACATTTTGCCACTTTTTTAAAAAGACTTATCACTTGAGAGTTCAAGGACCAAGAATTACCAAACATTTTCAATAACAATCAGTTTTACAAACTGCAAAGGTCAAATGATGACATTTTTGCTTCTCAGATGTTCATTGCAAATTAGGCATATTGAAAACCTCTTTGCAACTTCCACTGCTTAGGAGCTGGTATGGATAGGAAAAAATCTTCAGAATATATAACATAATAATAATAAAGAAGACTGGCCCTTTTAAAGACATACATATGGAGTCAAGAAGGTGTAAAGAGATGTGTCTGATTTACCCAAGCCCATGACAGTATGGACACGCCCTTTCTTGGACCCTGGAGGAGTGTTGTGAATACTTGAGGTGGTTCCTAGATTTCTAAAGTCAAGCTGTGGTAGAGAATCCCAAGCATCCAATCGATGCCTTGTATTTCTTTTCAAAGCTTCAGGGCCAAAACAATACTCTGCCCTGATAGATAGAATTTCCTTCTCCGAAGGAATATTAAGTACCCCACGTATTCTCATCTCTTAAAGACGGTTTGAATGAAGTCCTGCTCCACGGCAGATCGGTGATACAATGGCCCCAAGTGTCTCCAAGATGCAACAGACCTTGTTGTGAGGTTGCTGTCCAAACAAGGGGTGCTGAATGCGGGAGCATATAGTCGTTACACTTTATCAAAACAAAGACGAGGAGATTCGGTCCTGACTCATTCCTGCCACCCTAAAAGCCCCTGATTCCCTGCATATATGTCCAAATATGCGCCTCAGACTTTTTCAGAGACTCTGCTGAGCATCAGGCCAATTGCCTTCCCGTGCTGAAACCCAGCTGGGGTTAGTTAGTCCAAATCACAACTATTTTCTCATGATCAAAAATGAGTCAGAGGACATAATTGTAATTGATCATTTGCCGCCTGCCTGCGAAGCTTCAAATCAGGTCGTTTTCACACCCTTTTCTTCTAACTGAATAAGGGAGGAGAGGAGGTTTATGTTTCATCTGATAATCACAGCTGTTCCGGATTCAGAAATAAAAAACACTTTTAACGTGGAGGGAGATTTTTTAACCAAAAATAAAAAATAAAAAGATAAAGAAAGGCGGTGAATAAATACTAGTCTCTGCAACTAGACTCTTCCTTGGGGAGAAAAACAAAGAAACCACGAGGGTGGGAAAGGCAGCGACGCGTTCCACCCTTTGGGACTTAGTGCCCCGGCCGGCCGATTCTCCCAAAGCTCCAAGATAGCAGGTCCCCAAAGGTGCTGGGAGGGGGGCGGAGGCTGGGAGGACGAACCCGCCTGGAGCCCAGCTGGTGCCACTTCAGGGACAGGTGCGTTGCGAGGACAGCCGGCTCCCTCTGCTGCCACCCCTTGCCAGAAACCTCCGTGTCCGGGACCGAGCTATTAAAACCCTGGGGAGGGTGCCGGGTGGTGGAGCTGACGCGGAGCAATGCAGCCTGGAGAAGCAGCGATGGGTAAACACAGGCTGATGCCAGAACGGGCCTAGCCTAGCAGGGCAGGCGCGCTCCCGGACTAATCTACAGAAAGGATCTCCTGCCTACTCCCCGCCCGGTCACACCAATTAGGGGCTCCAGGCGAGCTGACCCCGGCACGCGACGCCGCAGCGACTCTCAGGATAACACAGCCGATTTTGCTTCTGCAGCCGCTGCCTACCCTCCGACCTCTAGTGTCGAACCTGTGCCTTTCTCCGCCTCACACACCTCTTTCGAGGTGTGGCTTCCTGAGAGCTCGGCGCACAATAGGTGGCCCGGCCTCCGATGGCCGGGGTGGCCGCCCGCACCTCCCCGTCACGCGCAGAAGGTCGAGCGCACAGGCCGCGGGAGCAGCCAGTCCTCCGCTCCCCGGGAGGCCGCTGCCCCAAACCAGGCCCTAGTCCGCGCTCTGCCCTCCCAGGCCGAGCAAGCCCCCCCAGGGCCAAGCCGTGGTGCGCGGCAGCGGGTGGCGCTGCCCGGCCTAGGCGGAGTCCCGCTGAGGCAGAGGCGCGAGCATCGCGCGCTCGGGAGCGCCCGGCTACTTTGCAGAGCCGCATGTGCAGCCCTGGGTCCTCACCCGGCGCCAGGGGGCAGAGCAGCCGGGGCGCGGTCCGGGAGATGCAGCTGCGTTT